AGCATTAACAATTACAGACAGGCTACATGGGTCTGTCAGGCGTGGATGTCTGCCTGTTCAAATGCTCCTCCAACATGAGCTACCTTCATCCCCCCTTGACTTCTCAGAGATGCTCCTCAAGGGCAGCACAAGCTGGGGAATTCACAATGGCCCTTGATAAATGTTCAGGTGCTTTGTTCTCCCTGCACCCAGACAGTTTCCTGCGTGTGTCTGGTTAGGTGTTGGTCCGGGTCCAGCCATCTATTGCTGCATTTTGTTCTGTGGTTTGAGCAGGAGCTGAAGCATAGTGCAGATCTTCCCTCAGCTTCAGGAACGCAAGCACCTGTGTATGTGAGATGGGGAGCATGGACATGGACCCCTCTTGCATGTAGCAGGGGTGGACATTGTTGCAACCCATAACTGGAGTTTCTTTAGAGGGTCAACAGATGTTGAACAGACGTTCCTCCCTGCTAATTCATGGATACATAAAATTAGTTAGTTATTTGGAGTCCAGCATATCAAGGCATTGTGGCCACTCTTTGAAGATCTGGTGACACCCAAGATACGCACAAGCCACAGCAGGGCAAGGTGATCCATCTGGGCTCAAACTGGTGTGCACTAGGGTAGGGCAGTGAGCAGAAAACAGTTGCACACAGCATAATCCTGCACCCACAACTGGGGTCTTTTCTCAGCACAGCAGCTATGGGTGTTTGCAAGGATGGCTGCAGAGTTTTGGGTCTGTGGAGTCTGCCCTCCTTGGGTCTTGGGTCTGTAGGTTCTGCAGGGTCTGCCTCAGGGCATATCTGGGAGTAGCTAACTGGATGGCTCCCTCTGAATTTGTGAGTAATGCAAATTTCCAGGGAAAATGAATTTTGGTGGCATGGCAGGAGAAAAAGCCAGGCCGAGCTGCACCAGCTCCTCGTACCCAACAGCGCTAGGCTGCAAAGTCCTCTGGATAAAGAAAAGTTTTGCCAGTGACTCGTCACTGGCTGGCAGGGTACAGAAGTGAGCAAAGATCTGAGGAAACCCAACCGAGGAGTGTTGTATCCAACTGTCTTGTGGCTAAGCTGTGATTTAGAGGTTTGCTAGGCTGGCTGCGGCTGAGAGGGGAGAAATCCCACCTAGCTCTGATGGGATCCCACCTAGCTCTAATGGGGGTCATTACTCTGATGTGAAGGGGAAATTTTAAGGATAGTAAGTCTTTTGAAGACTTCTGTAACCTTCCCCCAGCATGACATGATTCAGTGAAAGCCATTCAACTCTTCCACAAACCTTAAATTATTGGTGTAGAAAAAATACCAAAACCCTTTAGCTCATAGACCAGAAGGCAGAAATGAAGTTTGGTCATTTCTGCAAGAATCTCAACTTCTGGGATTTCACTAACACTTCTCTCCTAGAAGGCATCCAGGTTTTGCTTTGTGCCTCCCACCGGTCCTCTTCTCTTGCTACGTTTTTCCTATGTTTAATCATCCTTATTGTTTTAAAGCCGTGCATAGTTTATTATTTAACTTGTCTAGCCTGCACTACTAGTGACTGGTTCTTGTCTTACCTTTCTCTGCCACAGATTAATATTTATTAACATGCATCCATTTCCACAATGCTCCCTGTTAGCTTTATGTATCCAGCTGAAATCTTTCACTGTCTTGAAATGTGTTAAAAGTGACATGCTTGAAAAATGTCACTTTTAACACAATTCTTCTGCTTGCCATCAGTCTCTTAGCTTCCAGGCATGTAAAGCTGCCTTTGAAGAAAGTAAATAATTCATCAAGCACAGGCAATTGGGTTAGATGGAAGTCTCAGTTTGCTCTGCAATGATCGGTAACAGCTATACAGAGAGGAGGATGAGGGCAAGGCGAGCATGTATTCGGGTTCACAGTGATTAAGTGCAAGATCTTTCAATCCTTATCTGTTGTAATTAGTTTTTACCCTCCTGAACTGTCCCATTGAAGTCAAATGAGATTTTATATTGACCAAGTTTTGAAGGAAATTCCTTGGGGGAATGACAATTTGGGGGTAGGAGAGAGAGATCCCTATGACAGCCCAGCCAGTGCCTGAGCAGCCCTCAGGGGTATTTTCTGCCCACAACCACAGTCACTGGGAGGCTATGCTTCATCATCTGAGTGATTCTCATCCATGTCTTTTCTGCCTCTGTCCCATCTGTTATCTACTACTAATACAGTGGTTTTAATTGGCTCTGTGTTTGCCCAAGTGCAAGTGGGCACTTCAGAGACCTAAACTTGGATGACAACACATGGGACACAGACATAGCTAGAAAAAAGCACCAGGGAAATATCTCCCCCCAAAAAATTTTCCACCCACCTGCCAAAATGTTTTTTTCAGGAGATAGTCTGTTTTTATCCCAGATTCTCAGGATCTGTGACCAGCTTGTATGGTCTTTACCCCTGAAGTGACTGAAAAGAGGAATATCCTTCCTCTCCCTGAGGGCTGGTGATACACCTCCAAGCTGGCTCTCAAGAGGAACCAGGCAGAGAGGTGTCTAAACTTGCAGGACTAAACAAAGATGTTTTCTTTAGCCACCTCCATCAGAAAATACTAGGTTCTTCCTGGCCTTCAGACTGAGCTCTCCAAGCAATAAATCACAGTTGCATGGTGGCAGGAGAATCACCTTCTCTAACCAGCAAGGCAGCTTCAAAATGCCTTGAACATTTGAGGTTATATATAATTATATATTTATAAGCTCATATATACAAGTTCTTGGAGGTGAAGGCAGCTATTCAACAACTGAAGAACATAAACTTGCATGAACTGCCTGGTACCTTGAATTTGGTCTTGTCGCAGTGAATTTATACAAGAAAATTAGAGATGTACCTAAACTGGCTTATTTTTGGTGTCTCCTTACTCAACCCTGAAGTCTTTTAGTGCAGTGCATGCCAGGAATGGATCCTGAAAGGAAAAGCATGGTCCCCAGGGAGGACTGGTTGGATTAACCTGTGAGTCATGCCCAGAAACGCTTTCTTCCTCATTCACAGTGTCAGGAAAATGCTCCCAGGTGCTTCTGCCTGCAGTTACGTGATGTTTGTACAGAACAAGAGGTTGATTGTAAGAAGGAATTTCCAGGAAACTGTTATAATGGGATTGTTTTATCTTTTTGCTCAGAAGTATTGTTATTAGCTCACTCTGTCCCCTCATGAATCCCCTGCCCCAAACTTGCCATTTCAAGTCCTGCCTTGCTTCTGCTGAAGCCCAACAACCAATGTCTGGACCTGGAGTTTCTGGGAAATCCCAGAGTACGGAGGAAAGCACTATGTAAAGGGCACAGCTGAGTTGTATCACCTGTTGCATGTCGATGGCCACTTCTTTGCCTTATCAGAAAGTTTTGTGCGACAGTATCTATGAAGCAATCAGGGCTGGAGGGATATTAATAGGGAACAATGTCCACCAAGTCTCTAGACTATGGAAAATGAGATCCTGTGGTTTTCTGCAAAGTCTATGTATTTGAAACTGTTCTGCTGTTGCTTATTCTGCATTCAGTGATGTTCTTCAGATGCTGCCCTCCATGCAGTCTCGCTCCTCTCTTGTTGACAACAGAAATCAAATCTCATTATTTATACCGCATCTGCGGGAATCATCTTCCTGAGAAAATGCAAGAATTTTCAGCCACGAACCAAATCATCATAACAGGTTCTGGATGCCTCAGGCAGGGCAATAAGCTAGATTTATTCCAAAGTTCAGTGGCTGTAGAAGACCTGAGTGGCTTCAGGGCCTTTGTGGTTGAGCTTATCCAGTTTATCTAAGAGATGAGTCTTATCAAACAGAGAGATTAGGATATTTCTGACATTACCCACCAGTTTAGGTGCATAACTTAGGACAGGTAAGTCCTGATTTTGTACTTTGTTAGACATTCAGAGCTTCCCCTGGAAGTTAATTGGAGTGTAGGGTTTGCACTTCCTCATAACGGGACTGGAGATGCCACAATTATTGAGCCCTATTGAAAATGAAACTTATATAACCTTAAAATCTTTTGGACCTTCTGAAGGGAGTCAAGGGAATCCTACTGTGAAAAGGGAATGACTTGCTTCAATTTTTCTTGCAGTGCTGAATGTAGCATTGAGTAAAATACTCTTAGGAGGGATCCAAAGATTGCATCGCCAAGGGTTACTGGCGAGAGACAGCTGGCAGAGCTTTTAGTAGGACTGCGATAGGTAAATCCAACCACTCTGAATAAAGCACTGAGAAATAATAGAAATGGCTGATGGCTTCCTCACGATCCAAGATATTTGCCTCTACAAAATGTATCTGAGATCTAGTCACACATATCTCACCAGCGCCCCAATAATAATGATGGAGCTTAATACATTTTCAGGAAAAGAAAGTGCTAAAACACAGTGTGATGTTTTAGAGACTGGAGATTGAAATTTACGGCAGTGCAATTAGGTTTTTTAGTGTTTGACTATTTCAGACCCCCAGGTGTTGAGCATACTTGATCATCATTTACCCATCATGTTTTTTATTTACTATTTATTGAATAGCAAGCCTTGCTCGGGCTGCTTGTGTTGATGTGATTGTTAGTATTCAGACCAATAAAGCCAGACTGGCGAAAGGGTCGAGGTGGGTTTTCCCTTCAGAGAAGAGGCAAATTTTATCTACCTCCAAGTGAGAATAAGGGAAGTATGTTCCAAGTTCAGACCTTCCAGGATGTGTAGCACAAAATATCATCCAGTCTCTCTTATATAGCGAAGACCTAAGACAGTCCCAGTCTCTGACCCCGTCTGCTCTTGTCCATTGTAGATTTTATAGCACTTGGTCTTTTGTGCTGAAAACCTTAGGCTGTTGCTTGTGGTCTGAGGGCCAGTGTTTCCAAAAACTCTTCTGAAATGAACATCTTCTGTGAGTTGCCTGCAATGGCTCAACTTACTGCCCGTCCCTCCTGTGTTCCTGTTAAGGTTGTTAACTCGGTTCTTCTTCAGTAACTAAACTCACTGGAAAAAAGAAAGTTATTCTCTGAAGTGGTACCTGCTGGAACCACTTTCTCCTGCTGACCCTGCTTTTTCCATTTACAGGTTCCATGTACGATGGTTTAGCTGATGGTTATGGCTATGGGACATCCCGTGGCAGCTATTACGCCAAAACCCAAACAGGAAACAGCAGCTGGGGATATCCGGTAAGATACTCTTTTATCTGGGAACTGTGGCATACTCTTGAGGTAACTGGTACAGAAAGCACCCTTCAGTAGGAGCAGTCATGTAGCAAGGTCGTAGCACTTCAGAAACTTGCCAGAGAGAGATTATGCATGGCTATGGCTGTCTTAAAAAGTAGTTCAATGCAGTGGAAGAGGATGATCAAGGACCCTATATCCATGTTGTATGTGGTTGGGAATTTTAGTGTGGACAAGATTTAGTTTGGTTTTGTGGATTAATATCCACATGGCACAAGAGGTTTGATGCTGTCTGAAGGATCCGTCACAGGTTCGGACTCTTACAGCTCAGTTCAAGGTTGGTGCATGTCCATTTCTCACCTGGAGCAGTTTCCATGTACCAAAACCTCTCTGTGAACAACATTCATGTGGTTGAGTGGTGATTATCAGGGCATTTGCATTATAACTGTGTTGCTATTTCCAATCTCAGTGCTAGTGCAGACCCTTTTCAGATATTTGCTGAGCTTGAAAAAGAATTGGTCCACTTCTCCCATAGTGATTTCCATGAAAGAAATTATTAGAAGAAATTATTACAGATTTCCAGAAAAAACACAGGTGAAATAGTACTTATTTTTGTGCAATCTGAGTTTATACATCCCACAGAGGTCCTAGTCTTGTCCTTGGTGACAGACTTGGTACACTGGGAATCATTCAAACCACTCCATCCTCTACTGGGACAACTTGTGCTCGTGTTGCCCCTCTACCTTAGACCTGTATTCTGTTCCTCCTTGGTTTTTATGAGCTATAAAGTAGAAAGGAGCAATTCACAGATCTAGGATTCGAATATGGGTAAAAGAAAGGGCTCCTTTCAACAACTCTGGGACTGTAGAGCAGCTGCCTGTCAACCATCAAAGCGTTGAAGCAGGAAAGGTGCTTTTGTTGGCTTCAAGCAGACAGACAGAGGGTTGAAGGTTTTCCTGGTAGTTGCCAGATCCTCTGCCTGTCCATAGCATCAGCATTCCTCATCTTCAGAAAGATTTATCTGTTGTCTTTCTTAATGGCCTTGGTGTAGCATGCTTGCTTCAAGGCAACGATGTCACTTGCTAGGTTTGCATCACTGAGTTTGCTGCCTACTGCATGTTCAGTAGGAAGGACTGGGAGCACATCCATGTCTTTGAATTTTTTTACTTACAGACTGTCTGTTGACTTGTTTCAATATCCCTTTAATGAGCTGGTTAAATCCCAGACAGTGGTGTTTCTGCCTGTTCTAAGACCAAAAGGGTGACTATGTAGGGTCAGAGCAGAGGTCCATCCTGCCCAGTGTCCTGTCTCCTTCACTAAGACAGTGACGGGCCCCTGCAGAAGGGTAAGCAGGCAGTGATGCATCCCAGAGTGTTTTTGTGGCCACCAGAAATTTGCAACTGAGGGACCTCCTGAGACAGAGGTGGAGTCTCTGAGATTCGTAAGTCAAATGATTGTGATGTTTGTTTTGATGATATATTGCTGTTTGTCTGTTGTGATTCTTGAATGGAGTTTGTTATGCTTTGTCTAATCAACACTGCTCTGTTCCAGCCATTCCAGTAGTTTCTAGCTAGGTTTTTTTTGTTAAAGAGAGGGTAAGGTGAGCCCCATTTCTGCGGTTGCCCCTCCAGCTCATGCTCATGCTGGAAAAGTGGTACCGCAGATAGTGTTGCTGGTGTGAGGATTATTGTTTAATTTTTTTCATTCCTGATCTTCTTCACAATCATTATCACAGCTGAACAAATGCTAGGCAGTTAGAAATGCCACTGGCTGCTAGGGATTTCAGTCCAGCAATGTTGGTGTTCTGGTGAACAGCTTGCAAGAGGATTACAAAGGTCAGGGACTCCATTAGACACCATAGAGTACCGTGGACACAGCATTTCAGTCAATTCTGGTTCAACATGGACTTATGAAGCTCATGGCTGATCTCTGAAGGGCTCTTCTGCATTTCCTGATGAGGGAAGGTCTTTCGCCAAACCTAAGTGTCTTACAAGCCTTTTATTCTAGGAATTTTTGGCAAAGGTCTTCAGGACCTGGGCTTCTTTAGAAAAAGGGACTGGGACTTATGAAAGATCCACAGTAAAATTTGTCTTACCTGACTGTGTCTATCTGAAAATCAGTCTTAACAAGTCATCTAGACTCCTATAGCCAACAAAGAGAGAGTTACGAAGAGGTGATTCATCTCCTCTGTCTTGGAGATCTGTCAGGTCAGGATGAATCAGCCCCTCTGGATGCCTATCTCCTTCCACTGGTAGCTGTATTGGAGCAGTCACCTAATAGGTAGATGACTGCAGTTAGGGGCGATGAGTCCCAAGTGCCATTGGCACATTAGAACATATAACCTCAAGCCCAAATCTGCTTAACAAGCTTAACAGACATCATACTCCCCAACCACACCAAGGAAGCTCCTCCATTTCTTTTCTTCCAGAAAAGCATTGAAGGTTTACACACATCCACAACCAGCCTCACGCTTGAGTTAACTTTAACTTTTGTCTACAGACCTGTTTGAAGTCTGTGCAGGTTCTAGACATCCTAAAAAATGTTTCCTGTTTGTAATTCCTGGGTTGTAAGACACGAAAACAAAAATAAAGCAAATCTGGTTTTGAAGACAAAATTGTTGGACTTCTTTCCAGCTGGAGCTGATGCCGTGAATGTTTCTGAGAAGTCTCAGAGTCCTTTGAGATGCACATGCAAATCCAGATATTTCAGAGAAATGACCCAGTATAGTACTGAAGAAAATTAATTATTCTTAACACTTCTGGAGTATTAAAAAGGTGTAACAAGCAATCCATGTCCGTGTTGCTGCTCCACAGCACCTGCAACTTAGACACTGCTCTTAGATTGCCTTAATCTAAGGCATTGCCTTAGATGGCGACTCTAAATGACAGGAGGTATCCTGCCTCACCCAGAGCTCTTAAAAACTGTTATTCCTGACTTCCTCCTTTTGTCTTTTTTTGTGTCTTCTTGGAAGTCTCAAGCTTTTGGCTTCTGAGTTTTCTTCCCAACCTTATGATACTGATGTTCCAATATTACAGCAAGAAAAAATGATAGATCTGGAGGAAGATGTCTCTCTGGATCAGTTAACACTTCTGACTAAAAACTTTGATTTACTCGTTATTAAAGACTATTTTTGGTTTATTCCTCTGATGGAGTTCCTTGTTTGTAGCATCAGTGCAACTAGAATTGCAATGAGTACCAACTCATTATTAGTGCAGGTAACACTGAAATCCGGTGGGACCACTCCAGAAACAGGCACTCTGAGGGCAGCAGGTTTGCAGCTGGCTGCAGCATTGCCGCAACTCACATGTCAGACATCGGCTGAGCCTTCAGGGATGAAGTCCCCAGTCCCATTTCCACAGTGACAATGGTGGGATGCAGTAATGGGTGCATTAGTGACTGCAAACCTCTCTGTGTTAAGTCATCTTTCAATCTAAGTGCTGTTGAGCCCAGAAGACTCTTCTTAGAGCCATTTGTCACCCTACTGACAGTGTGAGTTATCAGTGGCCACCAGTTCCCAAAGCCATCTGACCGCAGCATATGGCTATGCTGTGTCCTGATGTAAGGCCTGAGCAGTGCCTGAGGTCCCACAGAAGGTACAGTGGTGACCACAATTTACACAGATAAACCTGGGGGAGGTTTAGGTAAGCTAAACTGGGCACCTAGAGCAGTGCAGTCATGGCAGGAGAAGTCTCAGCATGGGCTGCACCCTTGACTCTGGCACTTCAGTACCACCCCAAAAACAGGATCTGTTCAGCACTGGCTCAAAACCACTGTCACAGTCCGGTGGCCCGTTGGGTTGCAGCAAGTGTGCTGTTCACCCCAACTGCAGGCACAGCTTTGGAGGTGCACAGCCAAATCCCGACCACCAAGGAATGGCAATATGTGGAGCCAGGATGCGTGCCACCAGCAAAGACCCTCTGAGGCTTAATTCTCACCTGCAGCAGCACTGCTCTTGCCTGGGTCTGCTGGGTTGGCAGGTCCATCCCTGCTAGAGAGTCGGAGGGGGTTCCCAGGTCCCATGTCTGTTTTGGCACTGTCAAGATGATGCAGTGTCAGGACAAGGTGCAGAAGCTTCCACAAGAAGGGAATACGCCAGCATGATGTGGGTGTAAGCTGCAGCGTGCCCCCCCGGCGCTGCCCCGAATGAGCCCCTGGTGTGCTGGGTAGGGAAGGAGGAGCGCCTTGGATGTCAGGATGCTCTGCCTCCAACGGGGTGAGCAGATCGTCATCCTCACAGTGCTGCCCTCAGCCTGGGACTTGTAGTGAGTAACGTTTCTGAGGGCAGCCATGTCCGTGAAGAAGAAATATGACCAAGAAATATTTGGCACGTCTGATGCTGCTCCCATTAAAGCAGTTAACTGGGTTGGATCCTGGCACATGACAGTTGGGGACCAGTCACTACCGGGCCACCAGTGCTCCCTACCACTTTCCTCAGGCACCGCCACTGGGGTCTCGGGCTCTGTGCTGCGCTACCCTACCCAGCTTGGCTCCTGTAGCAATTATGTCCGTTACGGCACTAATGAAATACGTGCACTTTGGTGATCCCTCTCCACTGGAGACTGTATGTAGATTCTTAAACAAATGCTCGCTGTGAGAGAAAGTTGCAGAACTTTCTCTCCCAAGTGCATTATCTGCATGAGAGGTGTTCAACATGGGACAGGAGCACCCCAGGCTATCCCTGGCTGGCTTTGCCTCTGCGGACAAAAATTGCTCATCAACAATGGGAGATTTGTTCCATAAGGATTTCAGGACAAAATTTGTCATTTGCTGTGATGACACATTCAAGTTTAAAAGAACCCCCAAATAGAGTGGTTTGGGCAATCTTTTCAAAGAAAACAAAGATTTTTTTGCACATCATTGCTCAGTCAGACCCTGGTCTCCCTGTAAGGTTTTGCAAGAGGCTTTATGCTTTGGAGTAGCAAGTTGGACATTACCTTCCCTGGCCAGAACAAACTGAATCACCAAGACCAAAATCTCAGCTGTGTAAAGAACCAGATGAAAAAGCATACGGAAAGGAAGCACCCAGGAGAGGTGGGAAAGAGTGTTTCAGAATTAGATAAACAATGCATTTGCTGGTTTTGCAATTTTTCTCCCTGCAATGGAGTGTGTAGCAGGCAGCAGCTAAAGCATTTCGCAAGTAGCATCAAGAGTTTTCCCCACCCATCACTCAGGGTGGGACGCTGTCATGTTGCATTGCCTGTGCTTTGCCCTCCAGCCTGGGAGAAACCTGCTCCTGACGTGTTTATACGGAGTCCTTTACTTCTCTCTGTCTGCTGCTCTAGAAACAAACAAATTGCAAGGGAAAAAAATTAGAGCTAGGTAATGAACTGATCGCGTCCTTAGATGCAGAAGTCAGAAACACCCAGTTATCTGGGAGGACCTCCAATGTGGAAAGGGAGCGCTGAGATTGGCGTGCCTTGCTCTGTGCTTCTGCTTCTCTGAAAGCAGGAGGAGGAAAGGGACTTTTCCTGTTTAAAAAAAGGGTTTATGAAAGAAAAAGACATGAACTCATGCTCAATGGTTGGGATAATGCCATTTTGACTCTCTGTAGCACCAGTTTTACTGCAGTTGAAATAAGATGTTAAAGATATTTATTCACCTGTCTTGTGTGACTGTTGGATATTCCAATTGACGTTCCTAAAATGGCCCCATATCGCAGGCTGGGAACTGGGGATCCACAAATGCTTGTTAATACAAAGGCAGGTCTTTGCTGTTCTGGTGAAGGAAAGCACTTACTCCTTGGGCTTGATAAGAGCACCTGCCCGCTATCAGTGCTCATCTTCCCTGTCTGTCCTCCCCTTGCCTCCTCTCCTTGTTTTAATATGAATGAAGGGCTCCCAAGGCTTGGCCTCAAACATACAGGCTCATTTCACAGTAGGGAGGAGAAGTTCAGGCTAAAATTCAGGATGTTGGCGGTGCATGTGAGCGTCCTCCTGCATCCGACGAGTGCAGGGGACTGCCAGTGCATGATGGTGTCTGGATGAAAGGAGAGACCTACCAAGCTGCCCTGACTTCTCAGGTCCCATGGGGGGAAGTTTTGGTGAGAGCCTGTGCTCTTCTAAAATGGTTTCCAGATCTTGCAATGCAGAGGGAATCACTGCATTCTGTCTCCACCCTGCTTTTTTCCTTGTCTTTTCCAGCATTTCTCTGCACTCCTAAAGGGACGAGGTGTGGACCTGGCCCACCTCCCCCGTGCAAACACCCACAAGCAGTGGGCAGATGCAATTCAGGGTGTTAGGAAATCTGGGTGGTTTATGAGGTCTGAAGGTGAGAGATTGATTATTTCCTTTCACTAATGCCATTCTGTATAGGGAGAGCTCACGCCACACACACAATAGCATGAGCAAAAGTTACGAGATTGTTGTCAGGTGGGTCTTTAAACCACAGACTATGTAATAGCATCACCTTCACCTTCAGAGATGTCATCTCTTCTCCAGACGGCAGAGTGCCTCACTTCTACCTTGCTGTGCATCCTATCTCACTGATCGCTGCATCCAGTGAAGAGATAACGACGTGGGGAACTCCACTCCAGTGTTAGAACCAAAGGTCTCTGGCTTAGCTTGGTGAACACCTGAAGTGGGGACACATGTTTTAGTCTGAGAAAGCTGCTCTTAGGGCACAGATGCGGCACTTCACTGAGATCAAGAAGCGATCAGGTCGGCTACTTCTGTGCAAGGATTCATAGAGACTATTTGGCAAGCAGGTCTGAAATCCGCTGAAGCTGGCAGGAGACTCCTCATCGATTCAGAGGCTTTGGATCAGGCTCCTGCTGCAAAGAGGAATTCTAAGATACCAATTAGGTCCGTGCCACTTGAAAGATATTAAAATGGGCTCAGCCAAGCATCTGTTAGAATCAGCAATAAAAGTCATGCACTGACTTTGGTAATGAGCTTCACATCACACGGGAACTATTTTCCCATGAGTTTGCAAAAGGCTTCCCCACCCTGCCAGGACTTGCACTGACTTGCCACTCAGGGCTCCCTGTGTTGCAGAAAGGTGTCTTTCCAAATAGGCAGTCGCTTTGATGCATCCATCTCAGGGCTGGCAAGAACGGGGACAATGCTAAAGGCCACTATAAAACACAGCAGGAAATATAGAATTGATAATTCTAGATCTATAAATACAGACACACTCACACCTTCCCTCACCCCTTCTGCTGGCAGAGAGCCCGTGTGAGTACACAGGAGTGCAAACAATAGCTTTAGATAAATAAAAAGTTAGCTCTTCCTTCGTTAGCTGAATTGGTTTCAGCAAATGCCCGGGGGCTCCACGGCTCTGTCAAGCTTCTGACAGCCTTACAAAATAATCCCCGTTTATACTGACTCACAAAGAAAAACGACAGGGCTCACATCTAACAAGCTGCTGCTCTGTCCTCCAGCCAGCCTCTCCACCAAGCAGCAAAGTCCACCCTGCACCTTCCTGCTCCAGCCCTGTCCTATCCCTCACTGTCCCAAGGGTTTCTGAACCCAGGAAAATGAAGAAAAAATGAGGATGATATCACCCCTAGAAGGACATACTCATCCGCAGTGGGGTAGTTTATTCCTTTGCTTAAGGTCACTTTGCCGTTGCTGCACGCGTGCTGCATCCAAAGCAAAACCAGGATGGAGAGAACCTCTGTGCATGGCCATCCTGGATATTTCGGTGGGCTTGCCCCACTGCCAGGAGGCTTGCCCAGTGCCCCCCACCACACTTACCCATGTGCCTCATCCTTGCTCTTATCGCATGCAAATTCTTCTTCCAAATCCCCGGAGCCCTGCAGTATGCACCAAACCTGTTACCTGCTGTGCTGCAGTGCTAACAGGTTTTTTCTGTGTCCTCTGGAGTAAACGCAAAGAGAATTTGCTCCCCTTTTGTCCCCTTCCAGCAACTCACCTGTTTAGATGCAAACCTGCAGAATAAAAATGAGAAAACTACTTCAGACTGGTGTTCAAATGACAGAGCAATCTGGGTATCGGCGTAGCTGGGCTGGAGGGTTTCTTCTTACCCACGTGGCACGCCTGCCTGGTAACCCCTTTTAGAAGGTTTCAGCCGTTACCTGTGCAACTCTCTGGGATGCAGCAGAGAGGATTCACTGCATTCCTGAAGATCAGTTTGTTAATGGAAATATTTGGCTTAATTAATTAACATAATGACAATTCTGCAGAGTGTTGGAGACAGGAGTGATGCTGAGTGTGCTCAGGGCTGGGATGAAGCTGGGGCAGAGCAGCGGGACTCAGGGTGAGCCTGCAGAGGATATCAATTTCTCTGTCATGTGGTGTTTCTAGGTTAGGAAATACGAATTTTTTCAGTGACGTGAACTATTGCACCAGGTACAAGCTTTTCACACCTTGTTCCTTGAACCTCCCTGGAAATAATAAGATGCCAGTGTTGACTTTCCTCTCCCAGCCCAAGGGATCCTTGGGTGGCTTTTGCAGAAAGAGGCACCCAAAGTACCACAGGTTAAAGTTAGGTGAGAAAAAAAACCTTGGCCCAACAAGAGACCATGGATGAGCTTTCCCAGGATAAGCCAAAGGGGGATGAGGCAGGCAGTTTTATCCTTTGGGTTTTCTTATGCCTTTTCACTGTATGTCTTGGAGATCTGCTTGCCAGTGTGCCGAGGGGGATGCAGTGGAAAAACTCGATATCATGGGGCAAACAGCACTAAAATAGCTTGCTTTATTTTTCTTTCTGGAGTACACAACTTAGTGACTTCTCTCTGACTTGGATACAACCCTGCAGGCTTCCAGGTGCCAGAATTGACATTCAGAAGGTTTAATATTGCAAAAGAATATTGGATTCAATCCTGGTGTACTTGGGGCAAATCTGGAGGACTTTTGGTGAAGTGGTGAAGACATTTTGAACTGACAGCAGGCCAGCTAAAGCCATTTTTTCATTTGATTAATTGCAGTTGGTTTTTTTACTGTCTTTTATTCTTTTTTTTCTTCCTGGTTTAGTCATCTCAATTCCCCCATTGTTCTCAGAAGATCCCATTATATGAGCTGGTACTACACACCTTGTAACTCATAAGCAGATATTCATTGTCTCCACTTGTTTCTTGGCACAATGAGATTCGAGAAACCTTTACTGATTTTTCACTCCCTTTACTCCATTCCTAGGGAACTTATACATGGAAGGGGAACAAAACAGCATATGGAAATTAAAAATAAATGGAGGCAGTGTTGGAAGGTCAGAATGGGGCATCATTCTCTGTGATGGCAAGAGATGCGATGTGAGCTCCTCTAATTACAGGTTGGGTTAGACTCCATGTGTTGGAAATAAGGCATTTTCTCTAACGCCAGGGTCATGTTTGATCTTTCAGTTCTGTTTTCAATCTCCTGGATAACATATCCTGATCGCTAAGTGTCCCCAGATTTCAAAGGAGGGTTTGGCACCTTTGTAAGGGCTGCAGGTGGGCTAACCTCCCCTAAATTTGGGTCCATAAAGAGGCGTATGAATTTGGTAGCCATGACACCCACGCAGGAGTGGGCTTGACAAGGTTGATCTGCAGCTCAATCCTTCCCTAATTTTTTTGTCTCTTGTTTTCTTGTTGACCAGCTGTACAACGGGACCCTGAAGCGGGACGTGGAGAACAGGCGCTACAGCTCGTACAGCCAGATGGAGGGCTGGGGCAGCAGGCACTACAGCAAAGCTGTCTGCAGCCCTGCCAGAGCCAGCAGCGACTACTGCTTTGTGCAGAACATCAAGAGCAGCCGGAGCGAGCCCGACCTCTACTGCGAACCACCCCGGGGCACACTGAGGAAGAGTCAGGTGGGGGGCCGGGCAGAGCACAAGGCAACCTTGAACCGCCAGAGCATCTACAGCAGCTGTAGCACCCAGCAAGGAACTACCAGGACAAGTAAAAAAATGCCAGCACGGGCCCTCTCCTGCCCCTCAAGCAACAAGCCCGACGTGGTCTATGCCCAGCCCATGATGAGCTGCAAGCAGGACGTGGTTTATGGACAGGCTCAGTCCAGCTCCAAGTAAGTCTGTTGCAGTGGGCTGAATCTGAGTAAATATAGACATCTGCTGTGGAGGTTTGTCCGCCTGAGCTAGTCACCTGAGCTGCTTCATAGCCACTGGAGATCGGCCCACCAGTGCACCCTGCACTTAACTGCATGCTGCCATAGCGTCCGAAGTGGGTCAGATGAGTCATACCCTTAAAGGGCTTATTTCTTTTCATGGGCTATGGAGGGGAACCAATATGACTGGCTCAGTGTAAATACCTCTGCTGTAGCTGTGTGATGTTGTGCAAGATGATCCCCCAGTCTCTGTGATGGTATTAGCTGACAGCTCCTTTGCAAGACAAGGGTGGGGAGGTGAAGAGCAGAAAGGCCAGTGTGCAGTTTTGGGTGCCTCTCCTGGCTGTCACGCTGCTCTGATTTGGCAGAAAACAAACTTAAAAAAACAAATAATGTTGAACTAATTGGTTCCTGAGGGTCTGGCTCAGACTGGAGCTGAGAACCTGCTGAGTGGTCATATTAACCCCTCTGTCTTTCCATCCAGCCATTCTTTCATTCCCCCAAAAGGTCTGATTCGGATTCCAGAAAAAATTGAGTCAGAAATTAAGTTAAACAGCCTAATTGGAATAACTTACCTACCCAGGAAAGAAGAGAGAACGGAAGCTGTCCAATTCCTTCCTGTCCAGAGCATCCAATCCCATTGGGGTTAGGAATTATGCAACGGTGAAGGATGGTCCTTCATGTGTCAGTTAGCATCAGGTCCCTTCTTGTAAATGCTGCCTACAACAACAGGGCATGTAAAGCACACCAGTGAGCTCAGACACTCCCAGGCTGATACAGCTGTGCAATGCAGCAGAGCTCTCACAAAAAGACCTGGTATGGTTTTGATGGCATTACAGCAATGTTGATTCACAGCTGCCCTGATGCTGATGGCTACATTGCCTCTGGCTCCGGAGCACCAACCATATTCTGTGATAGTCTTGGAAGAGATTTGGTCTGCACAAACCATAGTCTTGGGAGGCTATGGTTTGCATGTTTTGAACTGCAAAACATTGCAGTTCAAGGCACAATGTTTTATTGGGCTGGAGAAAGAGGGTCTGCATCTTCCACAAGTGCTCCCAGGGGCTACTGCACTACCATTGCTGCATCACTGTCATACAACAGGGCTTGCTCTGCACCAACCCAGAAGTTATCACAACTCCCAGACAGACATGGCAGCTTGCCACACAAAAACTAGGAGTTCCTGAGCTCATTCCTGGTGGTCCCTGGTCCAAAAGAGAATTTGCACTCTGCAGCATAAGTGTGAGACTAGTTAACAGGGCTCATAGCCTTTATTGTAACTCACACCAAAGACCTGAGATTGTTGAGCTGTTGGCCCAAGGCATGATGCACATATTGAGAAAATCCCCCCTTCATGGTCAGCAGTGTGAGCCAAATCATACCTTTTTTCACATCTGAATGTTGATTTCCAGATTTCTCTGGCTAATTCTCTGCTCAGCCTCCCTTGTTTTGTATTGAGTAGAAGCATGTCCCAGAGTATGTATGCCAAGAAATGTCACTTGCCTGTTAGCATGTTGTCATGAAACCTTAGCTTCCCATGTGCACAGTTACTTCATGTTTAACACATGCAAAATTAGCCCTGGCCAACCTGGAGCACTGGTGGCATTGGCTTGCTACTTTCAGAAGCTATGTAATTCCTCTGGAATGGGAAACAGAGATGTTACATAAACTGGAAGTAACAGGTTCCAGGGAACTTCTGACTAAAGAGCATAAAAGTGTAATGGGAGGGAAGGCAGAATGATTAAACACGGGACTGCAGCTGGTTTCTGCCTAGGGAAAATGTTGATTTTGAGAAGTTAGTCCCAGGCAGCAGTCAGGCTCTCTCCAAAGCAAGCCCTGCTCTGCACTGTGCAGTGCTCACAGTTGGTCATTGTGTTGGAAAGGTCACTTGAAGAATAATGCCATTTTCTGAAGAGAGGGAGAGCTGCTGTTGTGAGAGGAATACTCTCCAGCGCTGGATGCCCTTTGGTTAAGGAGTGGCTCCATTTATACACTTCTCCTGGCTTGGGGCATGGCTCATCTGGCAGAACTGGTTCTGATGTGGAAACGTTGAGGCTTCAAGTCGTAGGCTCAGCTGGGGCTGTGTCCCCTGAGTAAAACTGATTTGTCTGGTGCACACACCCCTTCGCGTGAAACCCACTGCAGAGCTGGATTCAATCAGAGGGCAGTTTGTACAAGCGTGCCTGCTCTTGAGTCAAAGGAGAGGAGATTGGCAGCAGTTGTCCTTGTAGTTTTGGAAACATACTAAGGAGCTGTCCTCTTTGAAAAAATTGCTTATTTGGAAGGCTGTTAGCCCTTATAAAGTATCTTGCAGGTTGCTGATAGCCTTGGTCTGGATTGTGCTTTTGTTGGGAACAGGCCTTCAGAGGTGGGTTAGGACCATATCTGGGCTCTCTTTGCTGTGTAGGACTGTTTCTGGTTGAAGGATTCTGCACTTGGGAGCTTCATCTTCATCTGGGTAGCCTGAACTTTGGGTGAGGAGAGGTTGGTTTGTACGCATCCCATTATTAACCTCCACATGCAGGAAGAGGGCTTAGCTGAGTAATAGTTGCTGGTGGTTCCCTGTTTGGGGCTCTGTTCTTCCTATTCTAGTAGTTCTTCAGGTGGAGTTTTTGCCTTTATAACTATAACAAGAATAATTTTGTGTTTGGTTTTCATGCTGCAAATCTCCTGTGTAGGTGGATATCTTGTCTGCAGGTTAGCAAACCGTCTCTATGAGCAAGGGAAGGGCTAAATAGTTTCCATGCTTTCAGAGGTCATCCAGTGAGGTGATTTCCATTGCTGTGAGAGTGATTACAGTGGGTCCTGTGATCCACTGGATCTGTCTGTGATATAAAACTGCTCTGTAATGCAGTGACTGTGGACAGTGTCAGTACTGGTTCAAGAGTGGTGCTTCTCAGGTCCTGTGCTATGGATCTGATCCCCTTGGGCAGTGTGAGATGAAAAAGAAGGTTCATTGGATGTTCTCAGGTAGTGAGAGTGGCATGTAGATATCAAAATACCAAGTATGCAAGAACTGTCAAGCTATCTGTACTGAACAGTCTCTCTGCATTTGGTCACAAAGTTATTTAATTTCTGGGACTATTCTTGATTGTGTGATTGCTTGCATTGATTCAACTGGCTTTGGCTGTGTAAGACCTAGAAGAGCTGTCTCTTTGACAACTGTCTCTCAGAAGAGTCCTTCCTCATACGGAAGCAACTCTAGTTGATGAAAGCACCTTTCCTCCAGCTAGCTGATGGGTAGTTTAAAACCTAAATGCTTTTTGGGGAAAAACATTTGATTCTATGATAAACTAAACCAAGTTGTAGGGTTTTACTCCCCGCATAGTATTGGTTCTGGTGAGGAAATCTGAGTTTTGCACTGTTTGTTCAGATCAGGATGTTAAAGAGTACTGACTTGCTTTGAGAAACCTCCTCTTGAAGTATATTCTCTTCCACCACCCCTGTCATTATGATCCTGCCTCAGTGAGCAAAGAGGGACCTTCTCATGTCCCTTCCAGACATACTTCTCTATAACCACTCAGGGGTTTAAGCCTTTGTAAGCTTTTGTCATATCTGGAACAACATTTCCAAGCTCAGTATATCTGTCCTGGGCTCAGAAGTTCATGGATTATTCTGGTGGCTCTTACCCAAAGGCCGCTCTCAATGAGTAGCACTCACATTTTGACACAATACAGCTCGCTGGAGTGAGTCCTTCTACCTGACAGAGCTGGGGGAAGTCTTCTTGGTATCAGGGCTCCCTCTTCTCCCTGGAACCCTTCTTTCTGGGCTCTCGTGACATCCCACAGATCTGTAGCCTCTCATCCTGGAAACTGGCAGCAACAAGTGGCTTCAGCAGCTGGTGAAGACTATGCATATTTTCCTATTTTTAACCATTTCCTCTGATGGGTGGTACTTGCAACATGCTCCAAGTGACAGTGTGTGATCTTGAGCTAGCCAGCTTTTAGCTAAATAACATGTTGCAATTCAGCCCAGTCAGAAAAAAAAGTTTCTACATCTTCCTTGGTCATCAGTAGCGATAATGAGAAGCAGTAATAAAGGATGTGATGTTTAATGCACCCTAGAAAACTTTGAGCCTTTGTCCCCCTCCAGCTGGAACTTAAGGTACAAGAAAACTGTGGCTACCACCAGCTGAGATGATTGTATTAGTTCTGCTTGCAGAAGCGTTGCACGTAGTGCTCCAGATGTCACGTGCACACAAGACTGACAGCCCAGGGCCAGGCTAGATCATGGTATGTGGTGGTTGAGACTCTGCAATAGTCTGTGCAGAAGTCAACTGGTTACGTGCATATAATTTTTTTAGGAGATGCCTGCATGTGGGCCAGGTGCCTCTGTTCCCCTTGCAGAGATGCAGTCAGTGGCCAGTGGAGCTGAAACCTGAGGTAGGTCAGTGCCTCTTGGTTGACCTCAGGGGAAACCCAGATGTCTGAGCTGGAGACATTACTGAGCGGCCAGACTAATCTCACCCCTTGTGAAGGATTCAGGGTATTCTCATTTGCGAAGATGAAGAGGTGAGCTGGGCTGTCTGCAGACATTCCCCAGCTCAAGGGTTGCTGATATAGATCAGGAGCTGTTAATGGACACCTACAATATGTGTTGTCTTCCATAATACCACACGCACCTTTGGCCTCATTTTAAGACACGGAGGCACTTCCCTTTGGTGTTCTCTGTATATGGGAGAAAGAGACTAAAACACCTCACTAGAGATCATGTGAAAGTAAGTGTATCAAAAAGTACCTGGAAATATGTAATATCTTGGTGCTATTCTGTTAAAGGCCTTGAATACCCCGGCTGGCAGCTACAGAGGAGGCCGTAAAGGCTGGGGCAATCCTTTGGATTTTCCATATGGTTATATTTCTCTATGGTGACGCTGACCTGGCCCCAGCTGAGCTGCAGCAGCCTCTGAGAGCTGTGGCTAGAGCTCAGGAACAGTAAGTGTGTGACCTGTAACCATTCATTCCTAGGCAGGAGCTCAAGTCTCTCTGGAAATACTATAAGCAGTGAAAACATACAAAAGTTATTGAAAGAGTCAGAAAAGGTACGGAGGGTGTTTTCAGATAGAAGTTCTTTCTTCTGGGATAAATAAAGGTCATCAGTATCAAAACATAAATCCTCCAGGGCTATGCCACACAACGGAAGCAGAACCAAGTACGATGATAGGCATTTTGGTTTGCTCTTATTTGGGATAAACTGCCTCTAAAAATGACTATTTCACAATGCTGGGTCCTTGTGAACTTGTCTGCACTATGCGTTTGCATCCAAAGCACACACTGTGGAGCTGTGTGTGATGCCGTCCTGGCAGGGTTCATATCGTTGCACATGGTGAGGATCCTCTCCCTCCCTGGAAGTGCCAATCTACCCTGGTATCTACCCACCAAGCAAAGCCGGAGGGAAAGCTCCAGCTGAGCTTCCAATGGCACCAAAACCTTTGTGGAGCATCTCACGGGTGGACATGGCTGTTTGTCATGGAGCATGGCTATCAGGTTTGCTCCAGCGTGGCCTGACTCTGGAAAGCTGTGGCTAGACATTCTGAATTTAGTGTCTTCACTCTCATTTTCTTAATGAACAACAGAATTTGTTAGAGTTTTCTGGCTTCCTCCTCTCCTGGTACTTGTAGCCCTAACAACCGGGACGGAGACTTAGATCTGATTAACACAAACCAATCTGCTAATACAAAGTGAACCAAAGGCAGTAGTATCAAATGGGGGAATTTGCCTTTCTGTGATACTGAGCCTCTAAAGTATTTGTTTCCCTTCCACACCTGAATCTGATCATCTTAATTTGTCTCCTGTTGAATCATTTCTAATTGAGATCTCTCTCTATTCTGATTGTTTCTTTCTTGTGGAAGAACAACCTTTGGAGCTCTTCCTACCAGGCACATTGGCCCAGGTTGGAGATGGCCACAGTCCAAGAATTCGTCTTGGAGCAGGTTGTTGTTCTTGTAGAGTAGATCTGGTTAGGAACATCCCTGACTGGCTGATGAACAATCTCCCATTAGCACGGGCTTTGCCAGGGTCATTATATTCTCAACTAGGAGAAATCACTGTTGCTTCTCGGGTGGCATGACTGAGCCTGGCTGCTCACCCTCTGTGAACTTGCCTGTTAGTGAGCTAGCAGAGGAAGGAGAGCTAGCAGAGGAAACAGAACTTTCCCCATCTTTTCCCAGACAGAACTGGACCTGGATACCTAGTTTTTCCCTGCTGAAGGAGGGTTTGGCTTTACGGTTTGTGGAGTGGATGTGTAGAAAACTGCTTTCCTTGAATAACTGGACTGAGTAGACATACTTGTTTCTCATAAAAAGTGCACCTGATTTAGGGTTTTTCTCAAGTTACTAAATTAAAAAGAAAAAAAAAATCACTATGAATTCACCATGATTACATATGCTGCATGGCCACTGACCTGCTGTTTTTATTAATGTGCCTCCCTCCCTACCCTTCCAGTCCAGGTCTGAATTCTGAAAGAAGTCCCTCTGGTGCTACTCATGCTGGACCCATCAGTGTCTCATCTCTGTTTTGTGTGTCAGTAGCATGAAAAAGACTAAGACAAAATCACAGCATCCTGAATCCAAAGGTTTCTGAGGTTCCAAAGCTTCTATTTTAAACTTTGTCCTTCCAGTTTTGTGTCTCCTTGTTGCAAGTGTAATGGAAGTTTCTTGCAGCCAAGTTTTGACGGAGGTTCAAACTGATGAAAAATCATATAATGAAGTGATGTTCTATTGTTAGTAGAAACAAAAGTGGAATGACATTCATCTAACTTTTGAATACTTAAGGTCCAATCCAAGACTGTTGTCTACCATTCCCATATATCAACAGAGGCAGAGGTATCTCCAGAGGGCAGGTCTTCCTGTCTTAGGAAAAATGTCTAAGACACAAAGGTAAGGTGTTCTTTGGAAGCACCTATTTCTCTCCATTGACTACCTAGGTGCTTAAATGAGTAATTTAAACTGGATGCAACTTTATACCAATGAGGGCAGGGGAGACAAAATAGTCTTTCTTGCTGCCTTCCAGTGTCATGGCATAATTGTTGACTTTTGATATTTTCTATGATCTATGCTATAGAATTGTGGATATTATTCACTGGCCCATGCTGTGTGGAGGTGAACCTTTGGATGCTTAAGGACAAAATATTTTATCTTATTGTAAGCTGCTGGAGGTGGTGACCATACTTGAGTGTCCTTTCTAGACCTTTATTTTTACATTTCTTTGGCACAAGCAAAATGAGGCGGCATAGAAGAAGCTACTCCCTCATAGTAATACTTAATACTTTAAATGTAATAGGTTCATTTAAAGAACTTAATAAAAAACACTCCATCTTGTCAGTCTATTGGATTGTCTGAAGACGATCAACACTCTACATAGTTACTAGTATGACATGGAGGAAGAACCTGTACACAAATTAATGTGGTTCAAACAGGAACTCATCTCCTCAATCTCCAGGTAAAACTCCATCAGTCGCAACTGGATCCTGAACAGGGAATAACATCAGTCAGGCACAACAAAGACCTAGTTGTCCTAGCAAAGTCTCCACACTTTTTTATTTCATTCACTATTAACAAAGCGTTTCCCATTTGTGTCCTGTCACTGCTGAGACAGTCATACCCAAACAAGAGTTTGGGTTTTGACTTTTCTGTCTTGAACTTTGTGTGATCATTAAGTCGTGTGCGAATTAATACAGGCGCTGCTGCTGTGGGCTGAGATCCCTCTGCAGCCAGCTGCAGTCCTAAGGGGCAAGGATGCTAAGAAGAGGTAGTAACTTTTATTAGACTAAATGATATAATTGAAAACACAGCGAAGATTTGCAGTTCAGATCCCCTTCATCAGTCTCAAAGTTTGTACCCTTTTCTAATTTTATGTGGTTAAAACATCGCAGATGATGCTAAATAAGTACAAAACAAAGAGAACAGGGCCTTTGTATTTCTAAACAAGGGACAATATTCAGATGTTTGTATTCTTCCCAAGGTTTCAGTCCTGCTCCAAGCTGGAGGTATTCATACCCTTCCTCTGGAGTCTGTAGGCACATTCTTTACCTGTAACAGGCTATGATGACAGTGGCCAACTTTTATGAAGAGCTTGAAGACTATCAATGTAAACATACCCTGGGAGCAGGATGTCTCAGTGCTATTATTAGTATTTCATAAACTGAATATTTGTCCATCCCATCACTCCAGACGTGCCTGTTGCCTTTTCTGAAGGGATCTGCTCTAGCCTCCCGAGACCATCAACTGCTCTCACATTTTTGCTTCCACCACATCTCACATCAAAGGATGACATGTTGTGGGAAAAGCATCTGCCTACTTTAGATTGTCCTAATAACCTGACAGATGGTTTCACTCTTGTCCACTAATTCTTTTATGTGATGAACAGTGAATACTGGTTCTCTGTTCCTTAATCCTTCCACCTTAGACATGATTAGACATCTAGCACCTCAACCAAGCTTTTATTCTGGATCCATAACTCGTTAGCCTTAGTGTCCTCTGTTGTATCTTTTCCACTTTTATCATCTCTTTTTTTGACACAGAGAAAGGCACTAGGGATGCACCAGGTGGTTTATGTGGTGATGTGATAATATTTTACACTTTGTAGTCGATTCCTTCCTAATATCCCCAGCCCTTTTGGCTGAGCACTCAACCAATGCTGTATTTCTCTTTCACACAGAATATGCGGTGATGAGATAGATGGTGGTACAATGACCATCCAGAAAGCCATCCAACTTCTGTGCTCCTCTGATGACAAATACCAGGCCATGGGTGCTTACTACCTCCAGCACACCTGCTTCCAGGATGAGTCTGCCAAGCAAGAGGTGAGCAAACTCCTTCAGAGCTCTGCTGTCACACTGGATGTGACAGCACACAAGATGGATGAAACTGGTTTTCCTCAGCACCAAGGATCCATAGGCCCCCTTGATTTTCATGATGGAGCCTCATACTTCGTTACTCACACCCAGGAATTAAGTAGGTTTTTCAACTATTAGTGGCCACTTTCTCTTAATAGCAGTGAGGTCAGGATTTTAACACAGGGGAATAGTTACCTGGCAGCAGAGGCGACTGTGGCCACATTATCACCATGAGCTGCTGTGACACAGATTGTAGGATTTTGGCAATACAGGAGCAGCCATTCAGATGCGCTGTCCTCTTCTGTATGGAATTGGACCTAGTTCCACATGAATCTTTTGCTATCTCAGAGCTGCAGTGTCACAGCCACACAAAATTTCCCTAAATCCCACTTTGATCTTTGTGCATTGCTCAGTGACGTTTCAGACATTTTCAGCCATTTCTGCCATTTTCATCCATTTTCAGGCATCTAAGCCAAAGGATTAAATAGTGATCGTGTACCAAGATATTTGATCAAACACAAGCCCTTCTTATAGCGCAGCTTATTTCTCTTCTGCTCTTACTCTCCCGCTACTAACTTCATGTCAACATGCGGCAAAGGAGGCAATCTCAAGGGTGGATCTGCTGTAGCAAGACCAAAGTTTATCCCCACCTTGGTGTGTTTGCAGCCGTGCAAACATGGGTTTATCCAGACGCCATCCCTATAGAGGTGGCTTTCCATTTGCCGGCACAACAGTGGCGCTGGACTTGCTGGCACAGTGTGGGGAGGTACCCCCGCGCTCTCGCTGCGGCTGAGCCGAGAGCAGGTACCCCAGCCCACACTACCGTCGCGAACTGCGGGGTGGCCACACCCTTTGTTACCGTTGAAAACACTCTCCGAGCACTGGCCTGTCCCATCGCTTCCCAGAAAGATGTGTCAGAGCAGGTATGTGAGTCATCCGAGCACACGCTTGTTTTCTTTCCTTTTAAAAGGTGCTCATCCATTTTCTGTTGTCAGCAAATCTGCAGCCGGTGGGTTGGTTTGTGCAGGAGGGGCTCCATGTGGGATCATGTCCCGGGGACGCCTGGTACAGAGGACATCCTATAGCGGGAACCCTCATCAATTTGGAGAGTTGAGCTGGAGGAATTTGCCTTCAGACCTCCCCAGCATGTGCGTGGTGTGCTGCAGGTTGGGGTTCACACCCCTTTCTGATGCTGCCCCTGTTGAGTGCTGGAGTATGGCCCAGTACTGCTTCTGGCTGACCTCGAGGGTGTTTACGCTGTACCGTGACCATCCTTCTAAGCTCAGCCTGTGATTTCAGGATGCAGATAAATTACCACATCATGTCATTATATTGCTATAAATGGCATCTACATATAGGCAGAGCAACATTTTCACCTGATATAAACTGGTGGAGGTAGGTGAAAGTTTGTGGGAGCAAGTACCTTTACATCAGCAAAGGATTCGGTCCATGGCCATTACTCAGACATCCACTTCTAGAGTTGAAGCTCCAACCTCAAGGCCAACACCTTTGTGCTTGTGACCTACGGCCTGAAGCAGACATGCCATCTGCAAGCTCTAGCCATCCTTTACTGCTAGGTCTGCTTTTCCAAATCCCATGAGTATGTGCCATGTTGACTCCTTGCATTGCCTCTCCCAGTGATGCTCTGCACACTGTCCTGATGCAGCATGTCTTTCCTGGTATAGGTCTATCGGCTGGGGGGAATTGCCAAGCTTGTCGAGCTTCTCCGCAGCACAAACCAGAACGTACAGCGGGCAGCAGCTGGAGCCCTCCGAAATTTGGTCTTCAAGAATCCAACCAACAAGATAGAAACCCGGCGGCAGAACGGGATAAGGGAGTGTGTGAGCCTCCTGCGGAGGACGGGGAACACTGAAATTCAGAAACAACTGACAGGTACACAGCAGACTGCTCAGTCTTCAGCAAGGACCATCCTCCTCCCTGTGGGTGGTCCATGTTGCTCCAGCATCCAAAGCCCCGGTAGCCATGGTGCTGCCATACCACAAAGAGGATGTTTTACGCTCCTGTCACACACAATGGCAACCTAAAGAAGGCAGAGGAGGTCCTGGCCCTTCGGCATCCCGCAAGGGTTCCCCACATCATAAATGCCTACTGGGGAAGCACCTGCTCCAGGTTTCCCCCGACAGCTGTAGTCACCCTGCCATTCCCATGCCTTCCTGAACCCCTGTCCCCCTTGCTGTTCCCAGGGAAGGCCAAGGGTGCTGGCAATCCTAATATGGTTGGGCAGGTTATCTAGTTGGTGTCTGACCTTTTCTTGAAGGATTGATGTGAGTTTGTTGGTGCAGGTCACCCTCAGCTGTGACTGAGTTCCTGTGTGCAAGCCTTTATGAGAATCTGGGAAAGATGCCTTCCCCCGGCAACCTAATGGCAATAAACATCAATTTTGGGAGACGGAGGATGCTTAGATGCCCACCTCCACATGATACCATGCTCCTGTTGCCCATCTTGCTTGTCTCCCATCAGGTTGGAGAGATACCGGGGTTTAGGGCAGCATCTGCACCCTTGGTTCAAAGAGGGATGAAGTGAAGAAAGGCTTTGTTGCTGGAATTCACTCTGACCTAAAGAAAGTTTCTAATGCATGGTGACCCTCTGCTTGAGCTAGTGTCCCACCTGCTTCCTAGGACTGCTCTGGAACCTCTCCTCCACTGATGAATTAAAAGAAGAGTTGATACAGGAGGCCCTCCCCGTCTTGACAGACTGTGTTATCATCCCTTTCTCTGGCTGGTCTGATGGCAGCTGCAATAGGACAAGAGAAATTATTGACCCAGAAGTATTCTTCAATGCTACAGGGTGTTTGAGGTGAGTCATCAAGCAGGGACTTGCTCTAGTTTGTGTCTGTTGACAAAAGCTGAAGCTGTCTAAATCCTGTTACAATAAGCGAACACACACTCACTGCAATTGTATTAACAAAAAAATTCTCCTTGAGAAAGTTTTCCTGACTAAGAGAAGGTGCAGAAAAAATTACATGTAAAATATTTTTTCCTAGTAGCTTTTTTTTTTTTTTTAAATGAGTTTGTATGTGCAAAGACTCTGCTCAAAAAATATAAGTTGCTTTGTCATGGGAGAGCTGCAGTTCTGAAACCTGACAGCATTCAGCTCAGACCAGGAAACTTGGCTCTTTTTGCCCTTAGATTTTGAGGCTTTGAGAGAAAATTCTGGTTGCTAGAAAACAAACTAGTTTGGGTTTTAGGTGGCAAAAAGCCAGAATTCTCTATGCGGAGAAAACAAGCATTTTCCCACTGATTTTAATAATTGTTTTAGTACAGAGCTGTCCCATTGCCCTGGACATTTCCTGGCTCATTTCATCAGGCAGGTCAGCTACAAAACAGGAGGTGCAGACTGAGCCCGGCGTAGTTTATTTTTTTCACAGGAAAGCCAGAGCCCTTTTGTAGAGGATCTTCGCCCTGACTTGCTGTTTGTCCTACCACCCTCCTCCACTTGGATGTGAGCTCCTTGTCTCTCACAGGGAACAAGTGGGAAAAAAAAATACCCTGTATAATTAGGTACTTTCATCAACTGAAGCTCTCCCTGAGGGAGCCCAGCGCCGACCACACCCTTACCAGACATGCAGCTAGTAGGAGCTGTATCTGCTTATGAAACGAAACGGGTGAATACGGCAGGGGCCTTTTGAGACATGATACTATCGTCTTCTGTGGCTGGGAACCATGTCTGAAAGATAGTGAGTCCTGCTCCCTTCCCTGTCTTGGAAGGCACCTTCCCTGTGCAGTCACACGTCGGGATGCGTGGTGTATGTTGCATATGAGGTGCTCCACTTTTTAGACCATCTCAACCCACCAATGCCACAAAATACCCCATAAAAATGAGGGAAAGAGTATGATGATGGCTTGTAAAATGAGGTCTCCGTGGAGTCTAACTCAAGGCAGGCTCTGTCTCCTGACACTTATCACAGTCTCTGGCAGTACTACCCAACACCCCCAGCGAAGACTGCCAGATGCAGGTCTGAGGGGGCTCAAAAGGCTGAGGGGAGCAGGAGCGGGGAGCAAGCCGAGTAAGGAAAGCAGGGCGGTTGGGTCTGGAGCCCCTGCTCTGAGGGGTGAGCTGGGATTGCTCTGACTCACTGCTCTGCCACATCATAACGCAGAGATGAGAACAGCCTTGGGTTTGCCCTGGGCTCGAGCCATTGCTGCTCAAGCATTTCTGGATTGCAGATGAATTCATGTTAATGAGGAGGCTGCAAATCACAGTGAACATCAAATCCAGTTCTGGAACGCCTGGAGTGAATATCTCACAACGACTGGGAACCTCTCTTTGTTTTTCATTTGCAAGCTACACAGCAATAAAATAGGGAAGAAAAAAACCCAACAAAACAACAAAAAACATTTCCTGTTACTGGAAAAACTCCCCTGTCCTGGTAGCAACCAGTGCTCAAGAATACATTACAACATTACAAACTGGTCAATCCCTCTGGTCAGAGCGATTGCTGCTCTTCAGCATCTCTGCCCCTATTTCCCACGCAAATATTGCTGTTGACACTGTGTAGCTCCATGCTTACAACCATTTGAACATTCCTGATTTTCACAATAATACCAGATGGTCTTTATTCAGTCTACTCTTTGGAAACACCTCCAAGGAGGAGATGAGTTTGTCACATGCATACCCTATAAGGCAAAATATTGCTCATAGTTACTCTTACTAGGACGATGTTGTCTATGCAGAGCCCCTTAACAGGACATTTCCTAGATTAAATCAATCCAAAAGAGCAGCAAGAGAGCTATGCACCATCCTACAGAAGATGACCAAATTGAGAGTAGTACACCAGCCTTGCTAAATCTTAAAAAAAGTCCTTAAATTCAATTAAAGTCCTAGTCAGAATAGAGCTGATCGAGACTAGTGAGTGAACCCAACTAATCCTCTCTCATCCTTCTCTCCTGATGTGCTCTGTCATGGCTTTCTTCAGAAACTTGAGTTCTGCAGACATGGGGCGCCAGACCATGAGGAATTACCCTGGCTTGATCGATTCAGTCATGACTTACGCGCAGAACTGCGTGGCTTCTAACCGACCCGATGATAAGGTACCAGATGCTCACCCAAGCTGTCTGCCCCATAATTAATAATTGCAACTTTGGTAATATCTCAAAATACCTTTCAAAGACAAGAGGGGCCTGGACTCTTTGTGGCTGCTCTTGTCCTTCCAAATCCCAGTGCCATATGTTGTAGGATTGCAAATCCTCGGTCCTCTGGGCCTGAGGTAGTGGTGGGTTTTACAATTCCCCTTTACCAAACACAGAGACACAGCAAAATATTTTTGCTAGAGCCCCCCAGTATGCTTCTCTTCCTTCCTCTCCCACCTTGTGATCCTTCCAGCGTCTTAATCTCCATCTCTTGCTCTTCCCACCACCACATCTCTTCATCCAGCAGGACTCAAGTATATAAACCCCAGACTGGCATCACACTCGGCAAGTAGCCAGGAGCCATCTTTCTGCTAGTCCCCTTTGACTCTGATTGCTATGTGTAAGCTCACTTACTTTGGACAAAACAGTGTTTATAGCCACATTTTCAGGACTTCAACACCTGTGATACTAGCCAGACACCCTAAAGTCCTCAATGCCCAGCAAAGTACCAAAATTATTTCAAATGAGCTCAGAATTGAGCAAAACATCTTTTGCGGATGGCTTTTGCAAGAAGATCAGTTTCAGCAGTACATACGGAACGCAGCTCTTTGGAAATGTAACCACATGTTTTGGTGTTGGTTACGGTTATCTAGTGAAAATTCTTCCTTGCTCTTTACATTGGGCACTCGGACATCCAGATAAAGGAGGCTTAAAAGCCTGTTCTTGCTAAAAAGTGTCCCCTAATCTGTAGCTGTGACTTGGATAAAGTAATTGAAAGTTGACTATGGCAAGAGGAAGACTTTCAAGATTTGGCATTTCATGGCAGGCAGTTTTATATAACCACTCTCTTTTCCTGTTCATCAACTTACCTGTGGCAGCAGGACCTAACAAGGTTCAATGAGTCAGTCAGCTCACTGAGATGGGGCTATGTGGCCTTCACTCATGTCTACTCTACCTTTTTCCTCCTTCCCATCCATTGCTACCTTAAGCAGGGTCAGGAGCTTGTATAGTATAACCGCTAAAAAGCTAATTATGGCATGCTATGTGTCTTCTCTGTAGCTATAGCAGGTGCTGCTCCGTATTTTTCTGTCTAATATGATGCTTGCATTTTTATTCCGGGGGTCATTTCAGTCTGTGGAGAATTGCATCTGCATCCTGCACAACCTCTCCTACCGCCTGGATGCCGAAGTTCCCAACAAATACACCCAGCTCAACCACATGGCCCGGAGTGTTTATATGGACAAAACTCTCACAGGCTGTTTCAACAGCAGGAGTGGTAAAATGGAGGTAAGATGTGCCGCAGAGGGCTTGGAAATGTGAACATCAGCCCGAGGCAGGGGCTGCAAGTGAAGAGCAGGATCTGAGCTTCCAGTTTCTCATCTCTTTCTAGAATGATGAGTATGGTGTCCCCCTTCCTGAGGAGGATTTTAAACCCAAAGGACCCAGCTGGCTCTACCACTCAGATGCCATCCGTACCTACCTGTCCCTGATGGATCAGAGCAAGAAGGATGCCACCCTGGAAGCTTGTGCTGGAGCTCTTCAGAACCTCACTGCGAGCCGAGGGCTGGTAAGCATTCCTCTCTCCTTTGCACGTGTGCAGCCATACGTGTCAGCACTTTACAGTAATCAGAAAGGAAAATGTCCTCCTTAAACCTGAGGGCACTATTGCAAGTCTTTCCACAGTGGATGCTCCAGCTGAGGTATTTATTAAAGCCAAAAACAGGGGGCTGTAATCAGCATCCTGAGGATCTATCCCCAATCCATACACTGTGTTTCCAGATTTCCCCAGTCTGCTGGTCATACTACCAGCATGTACTGGTGTTGGCACCCTCCCTCCAGGACACCAGTGAGGATGTACCCAAATGTGCACATGTGGACAGATGTCATTAAAGGAGAGAGAAAGGATGCGTGTGCGCCACCGCCTGTGTGTGTTTTTTAAGTGGGAGGTGGCTCTAATAACAGGGTGGGTTGTGCTGTGGATTGTGGCTTGTCCTCACATCAGAGCTGCTTGTAAAATAGCTCTGACAGATGTCCTATCCCGTAGGTATGGCAGCGTGGAGGTGACACGGGCTGCGTGATGCCGTGGGTATTGCAGGAGCTAGGGCACTGCAAGGCACACGTCACGACAGCAGCTCTGCTGTGCCAAATATCGCTACCGTGGGCATGTCCTTGCAGGCTGTGCTCACGTGGGCAAACCTCGACTTGTCTGTTTGTGTCGAACTTCATCAATTCCAATTTAAATAAGATGGCTAGGGAGATAAAGAGATAATTAGTCCATACGTAGGAGAGGCGTGTCACGTGTGCAAAGCGTTCCACCCAGAAACACGGAGTGACTCACGAAAGGAGCCTTCGCCACTGGGACAGCTTGAACCTGCCAGCTCTGATCTCCTGGGAGCTTTTGTTACAGGTCTTTCAATGTGAAATACCTGGGGAACTTTTTTTTCCTGCAGCTTAACTAAGCAGTGCTGCTAACAACAAGGTGGAGAGGGACTGTCATGGTACGGGTAGAGTTGATCAGAGAAATGGGGCTGGAGCTATGTGCTCCACGGAAATGAAAAGCCTTTCAAGCAATCAACATCATTACACAAGAACGTCTTTTGGGCAAGGGGGAAGAAAACAAACAAACAAAACTCAGCTCTGACAGTGTTGAAGCAACTTATTTCAGCCTTCTGGAACAAAATGGTTGGGATTTGCCTGGATATGCAGAAGTGGCTTCTCCTTTCAAGGGTCTTATTCCAGCTCAGAGCTGGAGTTGGGGTGGCTTGCTGTTTTTTCTGTCACTTGAAGGAAAGGGAAACTGGGTACAAGCTTACAACTCTTGCTATAATACTTTAGCTTGTAGAGGATGGCTCCGCATCTCTTCTCGGACTCTGCTTTACACATGCCAGTCCTGCCGATGTGAATCTGTAACGTGGCGTATGTGCCTCCTGTAGCGTGGGAGGGAAACT